AGCCGGGGCGACATAGGGAGACCCTGTCTCTACAAAAAATTTAAAAATTAGCCAAGTGATACATGCCTGTGGTCCCAGCTACTCAGGAAGCTGAGGAAGAACTGCTTGAGCCCAGGAGTCTGAGGCTGCAGTGAGCCATGATCACACCACTGCACTCAGCCTGGGCAACAGAGTGAGACCCTGTCTCAAACAAACAAACAAAAATACCACATTATATATCCACACCAATTACAAGGCATGTTATCTTTTTTTAAATGGGGAAAACATGTACCTGAGAATCAAGGAAATATAGTTTTAAAACCAATTAGAAAAGGAAAGACTAGGCCAGGCGTGGTGGCTCACGCCTGTAATCCCAGCACTTTGGGAGGCCAAGGCAGGCGGATCACTTGAGGTCAGGAGTTCGAGACCAGCCTGGCCAACATGGTGAAACCAATGTCTCCACCAAAACACAAAAAATTAGCCAGGTATGGTGGTGTGCACCTGTAATCCCAGCTACTCAGGAGGCTGAGGCAGGAGAATCACTTCTCAGGAGGCAGAAGGCAGAGGCTGCAGTGAGCTGAGATCGCACCATTGTGCTCCAGCCTGGGTGACAGAGTGAGTCTCAAAAAAAAAAAAAAAAAAATGAAAAGAACAGAAAAGGAAGGACTAGGTGATAGTGTTTATCAGCCTGAAGGGAAAATAAGTTTAAATCCACATGTTACACTCCTCCTCAAAATAAAGAGGTTTTCCAGCCTCTGGAAGTAGCAGCAGTGGCCAGAGGGTACATAAAGTCACAAAATTAAAATGAGGCCTCTTCTTAGAGTAACTTCATCTTAAATGAAAGCAAGGCTATATTATGAAGTAAAACAAATTTTGTACACAGTTGTAGGAATATGAATTTCACATTCTGGCAGCTGTCCCCACCAGCAGGTCTTATTTCCAGACTCCAATAAATTCCAACTAAAAGTTAAGAGCTGAATGATAATAAGCTTTTGCTCAAATGATTCTCCCACCTCAGCCTCCTGAGTAGCTAGGACTACAGGTGCAGGCAATCATACCTGGCTAAGTTTTTATTTTTTGTAGAGACGGTGTTTCACCATGTTACCCAGGCTGTTCTTGAACTCCTGGGCTCCAGCAATCCACCCATCTCGGCCTCCCAAGGTGCTGGGATTACAGGCATGAGCCACCGTGCCCAGCCAAGTTTCTTGATATTAATATTATTGGGTGGAGTCTGATGACTCCCACAGCCTTCCCACACTGTTAACCTTCCAAGCCAGGTCTGTAATAAAAGAATCACGCCAGGAATGACAGAAAGGAGCAAGGCAGGAAGCCCAAAGGGATAAGAGAAGTAAAACCAACCTTTTCTCTGCCTTCCAAGAAGTTCATCCATCGTGAGATAGGGAGGTGGGTCTTCCACTTCTGAAGACAGCTTCTCCTGAGGAGCTGAGGCACTTTTTAAAAAATGTTGAAAAGTCGGTCCAGCGGCCAGCCTGGAGCTGAAATCCTTCGGAGCTCCATCCTCCTGCCTCTCTGGACTGGGACACGTGGTACTAGAGAGACTGCTGTGTGCCCTGCACATCCTCAGCGACAGCCAAGACACAGAGGCCAATGGTCCCCACCCCAGAGACCTCTGCACTTGGAGGACACACTGTAAAGGGTGCATGGCACTAAACAGCCCACGGTCTGCAAAAGAATGACAGACATCACCAGCATTTATTGAACACTATGGACAGAACACTGCTCTGAGCACTTCAAGTGTATACATCCATTTACCCCTCACAAAAGCCCATGATGAAGGTACTCCTAATAATATGACCTTTGTTTTACAGTTGAAAAAACGGAGGCAACTTGCCCAAGACCACACAGAGGAGTGCCAGAGATGAGATGCAAATCCAGGCAGCGTTTTCAAAACAAGGGGTGGTAGAGATGAGATGGAAAGCCCTGACAAAATGACAAAATAGCACCTTGTGCCAAGACCAGTTCCCAAGGCTTTAAGTGTATTAACTCATTAAATCTTTACAGCAATCCTAGGAAACAGACACTATTATTGTTCCTATTCCGAAAGACATAGGTTGAGGAACTCACCTAATCCTACAGCCAGTAAGCAGTCAAACAAGAACTCAGGTAAAAATCCGCATGGATGCAAAGCCCGTGCCAATACCCATCTTGCTACACTGCCTCTTAATACTGTGAAAACCACTCACTGTCTGAGGGCATCTTCCTTTGAGTTCCTTCAGAAGGAAAGCATCTAATGTGAGGGCACTGTATGCCTGATCAGTGACTCCTTCTACCCTTTAAGAGACTTGGCTGGGCGCAGTCGCTCATGCCTCTAATCCCAGGACTTTGAGAGGCCGAGGCAGGAGGATCACTTGAGGTCAGGAGTTCAAGACCAGCCTGGCCAACATAGCAAAACTCCATTTCTACTAAAAATACAAAAGTTAGCCAGATGTGGTGGCACGTGCCTATAGTCCCAACTACTCAAGAGGCTGAGGTAGGAGAATCGCTTGAACCCAGGAAGCAGAAGTTGCTATGTACTGAGGTCGCACTACAGTCTGGACAACAGAGCGAAACGCCATCTCAAAAAAAAAACAAGAGTTTCAAACTACTACCTTCAAACTTTCCACCCAGACCCTCTCACACTTGGTTTAGCAAATAACACAACCTTTATAGAGAACAATTTGCCACTTTCCATCAAAATTACAAGTGTGCAAACCATCTGACAGAGCCTTTCCACT